CTAGGGACAATTAAATATTTATCCCTTGGGGTTTCACAGCCTTGTCTGCTTGCCCCAGCAGTTTACTTCTTTCTATATTTCTTTACTCCCCAGCATTTAGTTTGAGTTTCTAGCTTTACCTGCCACAGTTGGGGTTTCCAATCAAGCAAGAGGGTTGCCAAAATATGGAATATGCTTCCAAGGGAGGGGGTGCTGTCCTCTTCCTTGGAGGTATTTAAGAGGAGATTGGACAAACACCTGGTTGGGGTCATCTGACCCCAGCACTCTTTCTTGTCCAGGGCAGGAGGTCGGACTCAATGATCTAATAGGTCCTCTCCGACCCTAAAATCTATGAATCTGCGTCTAGTATGAGCTCTATCTGACAGTGAGCAGTTCCAGATACTTTATACTAAGGTGGAAAATCCCTGTGCGCCTGGCTATTTGAGACTCTTTCCTGCCCAAGTCAGGGGGTCGGGGGTTGGACTCAATGATCTAATAGGTCCCTTCCGACCCTAAAATCTATGAAATCTATAAAATCTATGAAAAAGAAACTCTGAATTAATCACCATGTCCCGTGCTGCTACCTTTAAACAGGTTATTTTTTCTCAGGGTCTGTCTCTGTTTTCTTCAGGAGCTCAAACCATCCTTTTCTTACTATCATTAATCTGTGTTGCTCGGAGTTAAATAAGCCCAAGGTCCCCAAAAAGAAAGAAACAAAATAAACTTTCCTGCCTGTCTGGCATCCTTTGGTCACTGTTTTCTCGCTTCCAGGACTAGGACTGTCAGGCTGCCATGCTCTGTAGAATGCTTCTGCAATGTCGGAACTCCTCCAAGCTCTAGGACCAGTATCCAGTCTCCACCCTGTTCCCTGGGTTAGGTTGCCAAGGCTTTAGGGAGAGGTCCTGGCATGTTCTGGCTCCCTCCTCTCCAGTAGGCCACCTGCCAAGGTGGAGTGGTGTGGGGCACCAATACAGTGGACTCAGTGGCTAGAGAAGCAGGGTTCTGGCTGCACTGGAGTTCCTCGCCTCAGCATCATGGCTGCGTGTGCCAGTGAGTTCTCCCCTGATTCTCTTTTCTTCTCTGAAGAGGCATAGGGTGCCTCTTCACAAATGGGTACAACTAAGATGAGCTGCACTAGGCTATCATGGTAGCCTGATTCATTTTCTGCTTCAGGGATGGATCAAAATGGGACTAAGTGAGATATATTAGTACTAGAGGAAGATGGTAGAATATGATGGGCAAGAGATGGCAGGAAAGAAGGGGACTGGCATAGACTGTTCAGAGGTGGGCCCAAACGTGGACCCCTGAAGAGAGCAGGAGTGATCAAGTGAAAGGCCTGGGCAAAAGGACTGGGGGAGTTAGGAGGGAAGGTGTGTGTGTGGGGAGTGTGGGGGGGACGGGGACTGAGGAGATCATTCTGGTAATTGTGATAGTTAAAGGAGATAGTGATGGGAAAATGGGCATGCAGGAACGTGGGTGCATGGTGCTATTTTGTAATGGAAATAAGCATACTATAACTGTAAAGGTTTGTTTTGGACCATCAAGTGAACCACAGCAGTCACAAGACAGGTTGGTAGAGGTATAGCTATATATTTATTTATGTTGAAATAAAGATTTTTGCAAAAAAAATGTGGTAAGTTCCCATGGGGGAGGTACCATGATCTTCTTCATAGTTTCATAGTTGGTAGGGTCGGAAGGGACCTGAGCAGATCATCAAGTCCGACCCCCTGCCATGGGCAGGAAAAAATGCTGGGTTCAAATGGCCCCGGCAAGGTAATTATCTAGCCTCCTTTTGAAGACCCCCAGGGTAGGAGTGAGCACCACTTCCCTTGGAAGTTGGTTCCAGATCCTAGCTGCCCTGACTGTGAAGTAGTCCTTCCTGATGTCCAGCCTGTACCTACTCTCAGTCAACTTACGGCTATTATTCCTAGTTACTCCTGGTAGTGCTCAGGGGAACAGGGTCTCTCCCGTTCCCCGCTGGTCCCCCTTAGTAAGTTTATAGATGGCCACCAGACCCCCTCTCAGCCTTCTCTTGTGAAGGCTGAAAAGGTTCAGGTCCCTTAGCCTCTCCTCATAGGGCCTGCCCTGCTGTCCCCTGATCATGTGAGTGGCCTCCTTTGGACCCTCTCAATGCTGTCCACATCTCTCCTGAAGTGCGGCACCCAGAACTGGATGCAGTACACCAACTGCGGCCTGACCAATGTCACATAGAGGGGGAGGATCACCTCCTTGGATCTGTTTGTGATGCATCTATGGATGCATGACAAGGTGCGGTTAGCCGTCCTGACCACATCCCCACATTGGTGGCCCATGTTCATCTTGGAGTCAGTAATGACTCCAAGATCCTTTTCTGCCTCTGTACTGACAAGAAGGGAGTTCCCCAGCCTGTAGGTATGCTGCTGGTTCTTCCTCCCCAGGTGCAACACCTTGCACTTGTCAGTATTGAAATCCATCCTGGTTCTCATCTGCCCTCCCTTGTAACCTGTCCAGATCTAGTTGTAGCCTGTCCCTCCCTTCTAACGTGCCCACTTCTTCTCGCATCTTAGTGTCATCCGCAAACTTGGACAAGGTGCTTTTCACCCCCTCATCCAAGTCATTGATGAAGATGTTGAACAGTGCGGGCCCAAGGACCAAGCCCTGGGGAACCCCACTGCCCACATCCCTCCAGGTCGAAAATGACCCATCCACCACCACTCTCTGGGTGCGGCCCTTCAGCCAAATTGTGACCCATCAGTTTGTGTAGGCATTGATGCCACAGTCACAGTCGCCTAATTTTTTAATGAGAATGTGGTGAGAGGCAGTGTCGAAGGCCTTCCTAAAGTCCAGAAAGACTACGTCCACTGCAACACTTGCATCTAAGGAATTTGTGACCTGGTTGTAGAAGGCAACCAGGCTGGTCTGACAGGACCTGCATCTAATGAACCCATGTTGGTTGCCCCAAGCATAACCTCCCCTGCTGGTCCCTCACAGATGTGTTCTTGGATAATTTTTTCAAAGAGCTTCCCCAGGACCGAGGTAAGACTAATGGGCCTATAGTTTCCTGGGTCCTCCTTCCTCCCTTTTATTTGAAAATGGGGACCACATTGTCCCTTTTCCAATCCTCTGGCACCTTGCCAGAGCACAACAAGTGCTTGTAGAGCTGTGCCAGGGGTCCTGCAATGGCCTCTGCCAATTCCCTCAGCACCCTGGGGTGCAGATCATCTGGACCTGCTGATTTGAACATGTCCGGTCCCACCAGAAGTTCCCTGACAAGGTCCACTCTGACTCTGGGCCCGGCTGTGCCTCTCCTGAGTTCTTCTGGGATCCTGGTGGGGGGGATGTCCCGGTCCCTGCTCAGAAATATGAAGGCAAAGAATTTGTTAAAGAGGTCAGCTTTATCATCTGGTGTAACCACCAGATTGCTAAGCGTGTCCTGCAGGGGCCCCACATTACCTGGCGCCTTCTTTTTACTCCCTATGTATTTAAAAAAGGATTCCTTGTTGTCTTTGATCCGGGTAGCTAGTCCCAGTTCTGTCTCCGCCTTAGCCTTCCTAACAGCCCCCCTACAGTCTCGAGCAATGGAGGTATAATCCTCCTTGGTGATGGCCCCTCCCTTCCATTGGGTTTACATCTCCTTTTTAGCTTTCAGAAGTTCCTGAATGCCTTTGGTGAGCCATGGGGGCTTTTGAGCACTCTTGCCTGCTTTGATTCGCGTTGGGACTGTCACCCTTTGGGCTCGGAGGATTGTCTCCTTAAGAAATGACCGCTCATCTTGGACTCCCAACTCCTCTCCCCTCCGGGACCTCAGTGCCTCCCTGACTAATCTCCTTAACTCATTGAAATCGGCCCTCCTGAAGTCAAGGGCTTCTGCCTTGCTGCAGGCCTTCGACACCCTGCGCTGGATGACTTCTTGGCTTTGAATGACTCAGTGTAGTTAAAGGGTGAAGGTCTGTCTCTTGCAGTATGGACAAGATGGCCCCTGCAAGAGTCAACAAATGCCTCCAAACGTGAGGATCTTGGATACATAATTTATGGTGATGAGGGACTGCTCTCAGGCTTTCCCTCTAGCTTGCTCCTTTGGTCTTTTGGCTAGGGGCAAGCAAGACTAGGAGCATCTGAACTCTAAGATCTCCAGGCTTGGGGCTTGCATGTAGGATGTCTGCCATGGATTTGGGAGTATCTGAAGCCCCAGTTTGATGAGTCTGGAAGATAGGATACTTGCTGGTGGTAGAAAGACACGGACTTGAATGATTAAGCTTTGCTCAGTTGAAATTTGGAACATAATTTGGAATGATTTAGCCTTGTAAACAAAAATTTTAAAAATGTGGTAGGTTCCCATCAGCATCTTGGCCTTTTGGTTAAGATCAAACTTTTTTACCATCAAGGAGAGGGCATCAGGGCTGGCTCTGGCCCTTCTGGTGCCAGGCTGGTATTGCAGTACCTCCAGGCCCAGTGCTAGTTCCATATGGAAGGAATACCCACCGTTTGTTTGTTTTTTAGGGGCCAAAAAAAATGTTCACATCAGTATTTTTGGCACCAGGGGAGGGTGTCAGAGCTTGCTCTGGCGTCTCTCAGTCTTTTATTGCAGTACCTCCAGGCCCCATGCTCATTCTCTCCTGAGGGAGCAACTGGCTATTTTTTTAAAGGCCACACACACAAAAAGATTATGCCAATTATGATATGATGCAGGAGGGTCACCTGGGGATAGGGATGGATTACAGTCTCATAACCCTTCTTTACAAGAAGCAGGAGAGCAGGGATCTGAAAAATTGGCGACCTATAACACTTCTAAACCTTGACTACAAACTGATTGCTAAAGTCTGGGCTGAGTCTGTTATAGGTGCGGTGATTCATGAAGACCAGTTATGTGTGATGCTGGAGCAACAGATCCATGGAGCCCTGCTGCAGGTACAAGATGCGCTACATTACCAATGGGAGAGAGGACTGAACCCTGTGCTAAACCCTGACCTGGAGAAATCCTACAGCCAAATGCCGCATTAATTCCTGCTTGAGACACTGAAGAAGATGGGGGTCCCCCTCACCTTCATCACCTGGATAAAGACACTGTACACCAACATGAGCAGCAGGGTGCTGGTAAATAGGTTGCTGATCGCACTGCTCATGGTAGAGTTTGGTGTCCAGTAGGGTGCCCACTCTCCCCAATCCTTTTCATCTGCATGATGGAACTGCTAGCCCAGCAGTTTAGACGGCACCCCAGGATTAGCAGAGTGCAAGTCTCTGTGTGGCAGGGCACTGGATGTGCCTGCCACTTGAAGTGGTCAGGCAGCCTGCTAAGCCACTGGCAGGTGAGGGTCAGGGCTAATTGCAGAGTCAGCTGACCCAGGGGGCTTGCAGGTGTGGCTAGGCCCGATCAAAGGAGTCATTTGGTTGAAGATAGTCATCTGATTGGAGGAGGGTTGGGCTTAGGCAGGGTATAAGCCTGGATCCTGAGAGCAGGGCTGGTGGTAACTTTTTGGAAGCTGGTGGAGGAATATCATCCAGCAGGAAGGCTGCAACTCCTGAATGTCAGCTAGGAAATGACATTCAGAGGTTTGGTTAGGAACTAAGGGGATGGAGGAGGTTTCTGGGGATCCAGTGTGAGGTCCAGAGCCCTGAGAAGGGGACTGAGTGCCTGGGGCCTGTGCCAAGGTCAGATGAGTCCAGAGAGAGAGGGGCTGAGTGCCTGTGGCCTGTTGAAAGGAGGGCTCAGGACAAGCCCAGACAGGAATTGTATGCATAGGGGCTTTGTGAGAGGCCAGGAGGGGCCCAGATTAGCTCAGAGAAGGAAAGGATAGCAATAAGGAAGACCTATGGAGGACTCTGAGCCCACAAAGAGAGAGAGAGAGAGTGACCCAGGGAGGGGCCCCACAGAGAGGAGAGGGCTGGCATTTGGAGGACAGACCTGGAGAACCTCAACTAGCCTACACTGGGTCAAGGGCCCAGGAGGGGCCAAAGGGTGAGAGAGCCCACCACGAGAGACAGCCAAAGCTGGGAGAGCCTGGAGTCTCAACTGGCCTGGAAGTGAGGCCAGGGCCTAGGAAGGGCACAAAAAGAGGGAAGAGTCAGGGAACTTGCAGCCCAGAATGATGTTGGCCAATAGGGGTCCAAGGGTGAGCTGGGGGCCAGAGATAAAGGACTCAGAAGCAAGATGGAGGCAGAGCCAGGGGACCCAGTGGTTAAATCGCCAAGGAGGGGCGTGGGGCATCTAGGGAAGAGCGCAGAGAGGGACATGTAAGACCAGGAAGGTTTGGAAACTGGTCCTGGGTATGACCTAAAACTGCAGCCTACTGGGGTCAGTTAGCATGGTGAGGCTGCCTGTGGCAAAGCAGCCTCCATGAAATGCCACGCATGGGCCACCTCAGGGGAAGACGAGGATGGGGAAACAGAAAGCCTCAGTTCTGGTACTATCTGGGGGCAGTTTTATGGAATGAGGCCCAGCAAGGGACCTGGGCTCAGGTAGAGGCCAATGGGTGTTCAGTTGAGCCGGGCCATGTGAAGGCCTGGGCTACCTCCCTATTATCTTATTAATCATCAAGTCATGCCAGGAGAGACAGAAAGGTGCCTTTAGGGACAGAATCAGGCACAGTTGTGGAGCTCTCAGGTGAATGTCACAGCCACCCCTGGGACCTAACCCTGTGACACCCTGTTGTCCCCAACAGACAGTGTGAGTTCGTGCCCAGTGCGCTATTGCCAATAAACACACAGGGGTGGAGGATCCAACTTAATCTTTGTTTCCAGTCTGCGCAGAGAGGGGTGCTTGGCAGTTGTTTGCAAAGCAAGCACCACCGGTTTCTACCTTTGGGTACCTTTTATACATATGTTTGCAAGTGTATCGCTCAGTGATTGGTTACAAGCCACTGACATAAGACTTTCTCTACTGAGCATGTCTTTATACCTATGTTTTAGCCATGTAATTCATTTACATACATATATGTTTCATTAACATACTTTTGCCCTGCCCAGGGGTGTGATTTTTAGCATTATAACGAGACCTTTTTCTGAACTTCTTGCTATTTTACAAGTGTCAGGGAGACATTATCCTGCTGGTGTTAGGGAGGCATTCCAGGAATCCTCCGCATCCCACACGCTGTGCTCTGCAAGCATCTCTTAACACACACATACCACACCCCTCCCAGCATCTGCAAGTTGCCTTAAGTATTTAGTTAGATATAGTTTGCAAAAGCTAGATATACCATAAAAAAGATTACATAAAAAGATTACATCAACCCTAGGAACAGCTGAGAAGAGATGAGAATCTTGGCCTGTATGGACCACCTCAACGCCCTGTACAGTGACAGGCAGTCAACTG